GAGTCTCCCTTTCTACTCTCTCTCTCTCTCTCTCTCTCTCTCACATTCTGACATGATACTTTCAGATGAAGATGGGGCTCAAAGGCCTGTTGAGGCGAAGGAGATGTTGGAACAAGAAGTGGGTACAGGGGGAGGAAGAGGAGATGGACATACTGATGGGATTAATAGACATGAAGATTGTGTCCAGAACGCTGAGGATGGGTGAGATCAGCCAAGAACAGCTGCAGTGGTGTGAGGAGAAGATGACCAAAGTAGGAGCATTGGAATGGAAAAGTTCAAAGAGAGTCCTCCCCGCTAGTTTTTTCCCTCTTAACTGATCCCAATCTTAATGTCGTCGGGTCTGCTTTGCTTTAGCCTGCCTGACGAAAGGATCCACCTCTTGTTTGTGTATATGTAGATGTATGTGGTTGTAAGTTCAAGATCACAGATGTTGATGGACGGTAGCCATCTGTTCCATGACTGATGGACGGTCGTGATGCGAAAGTTGTGGAAGATTGAGAGGTCTGGTTCCAGAGGATCCGCATCAGTTTGGATCCTCTCCATCTATTTTAAGGATGCAGGTATCCTCGACCCACTCACTGTCCAAGCAGTGGTGGGGTCAGTGTGATAAAGTGGGGTCCACATCAATTAACAGCTACTTCTGTCGGAATAGTATGGTTTCGATTAGATGTCCAACTGGATCGGATCCTCACATAGCGGTTACGACGCCCGTTACCTTTACCTATATATTCCTTCTTTTGCCATCGCGCCCTCGCTCCTCGATCAGGCAGGTTCCACTAGGGTTCGAAGAGGCAGAGTGAGTCGATTGGTGGAGTTCTTGCTGCGGCGATGAGCGGCGCGGCCGCTTCGGTATGGGAGGGTGTGGACGGGCGATGGACGTCGAGGCGATTCTTGGGAAGGTCACCGACCGACGAGGGTTCGGAGACGCCTTCGCCGCCGAGGTTTGCTCGGAAACGAGCACTGCTTGTTCCAGGTAGGCGTTATATGCGCCTTGTCTTGGATTTGACCTTTCAATTGTTACTTGCTGCTATGCCATAGGAAGACGCCAACCTGAGTCTTCTAATTGGCAGATGATTTTACCATTTGCTTCGTAATTCTTGGGAAATGATGTCGGCTATTGCGAATTCATACGAGAGTGGATAATTTTTTGATCCCTCGTTTCTTGAGCTCTCCCATTAGAATTGACAACGGCTTCCGTTGAAGTTCTTGACAATATTAGGAGGCTCGTGTCAAAGCTGCTCTGTCTGCCCACATATTTATTGCAGCTTCAATAAGGTTTACGGTTATTGGAGCAGGGGGTTTGTCATGTTTGATTATTGGGCAAATAGATTGTTCCTACTGCTAAATGTTTTAAGATGCCTGAACTCTACTTTGCAATTAGCATAATGGAAACATCAGAGCGTCAAATTTCGTTCCTTGATATGTTTCTTTCCTATATATATGTCACTTGAGAATGATCTTTAACTTCATATTACACAAAAGGCAAATAGCAGAAAATGCTGGAGCCTAATCCCGCTGCATGGTCCAAGGTCAGATGCATGCCACCTACTAGCTAAGTCTGAGGACTTTCATAGATTTACACATGATCTGACCGTTTCACCTATGTCTGTCAATTTCAATTTTGCAGAAGGTGCAAGTGCATCTTGTTGATTTATTTATCCATTAACTTTACTTTATCACCATATAGTTCTTTTGTTTTTGGAAGAGTATTAATTATTATAAATTGGCTTCAACTTCCTCTCTTTCCGCAATCTTCCTTCCATTGTAGATTGATACATATATTTAATGATTCTATATATATATATATATATGTATATATATATATATATATATATATATATATATATATATATATATAACAAGTATAACCTTACTGCTAGCACTACTCATGGCAATTCTTGGTCCCGTGGTGCAGTATGCTGGTAGAACCAGTACACGGACTGCAACTGCGATGCCACTAGTTTGTTTCATGAAAATATAGGTTCTCCAGAGTTCTAGGATGTGTCTGTGTGTGTTTGTGGGTCATAGCTTTGGAGGCATTTGAACATTGGCCCTCTTACTATTGGTTGCGACTTACATGTAGATTATGTTATGAATGTGCATCTGCTCTCAGAAGTTCCCTTTACAGTTTTCATAGCTGTGACAAAACATTTTGCCATGTTACCATCTAACTTGGGGTTTCAGGAGTTTGTGGATATATGCCAAGATTCGATACAGTTGCAGGGATATAGTTGATACTTATCTATAAATTGAAGGTATGCTACACTGGTAATGCTTTCATCATTTTGTGTATTAGTGATAATTTAGAATTATCTATAAATTTAGAATCATTTTGTGATTTTGTGTATTAGTGATACTTATCTAATACACTTGAGTATTAGTGATAATTTAGAATCATCTACCAGTAATGCTCTCATCATTTTGTGGAAATCGATTACAGCTCTTTTTCTTTCTTGTTATCTGAATACATCATTGGTAGCAAAGAGCAGTCAGCACGTGCTTACTCTGCCCTGCATGTATGTATGTTATGTCTGAAAGTGTACTAAACACAACTCAACGCCCATTTATATGTTGATTTATCTAATGCATAGTTCTTTTGGCTACCAACTTGAGGTTTTTTTTGTTTTTGTCTTTCTGCTCCCTATTCTACGTGGTGGGGCCGATGCTGTTGTTGATTAATATGAACAGCTTTTATACGATGCTAAATCAGCTCAAACAGGAAGTTATGTTTCTATGAAATACTATGTTTGAAGATGAATCAGATGAGATGACATTCGAAATTCCTGATATCCCTTGACCCATCGAGTACTTTGATTAAAAAGTGAGTACATGTTTGTCTACTTGAAATTGTTTGTGCACGATTCACCTACAGTCTGTTTACTAGTGTCATGACAACAAATATTCAGAGATAATCGTATCTGATCTAAAGCTTTAGCATAGCAACACCATGTAAGGATTAAACTTGGGGGCTGTTACGTACATTAAGAAGACTGTCATTTTATAATTTATCATCAGTTTTTCTTGATTCTATTTATGAAGTTTGTGTTAGTTACTGCTGTAGACTAGTTTCTCATAATGTGTCAACTTGAAAACTTGTTATAAATGTAGTCACCTTTGCTTTCTAGATTCCAGAAGATGCTTGGGCTGTTAGATCTGGTCTTTGATCATAATATTTAAGTTGCTTTTTTTATTTAAAAAAATAGGAGTGTTAATGGAGTGGTCTTAGGTGAATCAACTTTTAGAGAAATGTTTTCTGGCCTCTAGCCCCTCTCATCAAGTAATTTATGATGTGGATTATATGATACTGGATATCTCCTACTAAATGCTGAATTAGTAATCAATGGATTACAAATTTGCCCGGCTTTAAAGCGCATGTTTATTTCCTTAAAAATTCAGCCAATTAAGATAAGGTACCCTTAATAATGAGGCAAGAAATACATGATAATAAACTCTCTTTTTTTTTAAAATTAGGAAGTGTACATTTTAATATACCTACACTCATGATTATTGAATTGTCCTCAGCTAGCTAATATTTTGTTAAGATACCCATAGTTCATCGTGATAATATTGTTAAGTAGATCTTGATGTGAAGGTTGTTTTGTTGTATGCTTTCAGTTGATGATTCTGCTTGATGAAAGCGTAGAACGTTGTTGTTATGCATGATGGAAAACTATATACATAGATCTGAGAGTATTGTCGAAGAATAGAGTGGTTCTACAAAAAACAAGAGGCTACTTGGAAAGAAGGAAATAGAAAAAAAAAAAAAAGCACTACGAATAGTGATATGTATATCTTGAATTCATACCTGTGCATGTAAGCCGATTCTTCCTTTTTATCCTCGTTTAAACCTCCTCTGCTGTTGTCTCTCTCTCTCTCTCTCTCTCTCTCTTTTGCTCTACCGTATCATTGCCCCTTCTCTACTACTACCTTAACACTCTTCTCTTCGCCGCCTATCCAGCCCGAACGTATCTGACCACTCCTCGAAGTATACATGGTCGAACAATAATAACAATCCAATCATGACATGATTCCCGGATTCATTACACCATGTAACCTGAATTCCGGTGGTCAGATGCCTACCAATCATGGACCGCAGAAGGGGAAGCATAACGAGAAGACGGAGGGACCAGACCATACATGCACTGTAAGGATGTTTTTTTTTTACTTTTTTTTTAGTTTTTCTTGCTACCCATATCTCGTTTGAGGTTTAGTATAATGATGGCGTGGCACGGGGGGTTGGGATGGAAGCGAACCCTAGACTGGCGAGGCTACAAGTTTAGGTAGGTGGCTTTGCCCATAACACCTAAATGGCAATCACTGTTCCCAGCATAAAGTCACTGATCAAAGTGTTTGGTAGCACCCAGAACTCTAAGAGCATTAGCTTTGACAACTCATGCCCGAAACCCTAAAAAAATTCAACACCTCTGTTGAAACCCTTGCCGCCTTCATTCTCTAGGCCTTTTCTCCTATTGTCCCCAACAACCCTTCGCCTAACGACTGCATCACATCGTAAAGTGCCCAAATTGGAGAGAGAGAGAGAGAGAGAGAGAGAGAGAGAGGGTGCATATTGTTGAAGTCTTCAGTATAAAAGCCAGAAGAAAAAGACCGGTAACAAGCGCATAACCCACCACAAAACTTATGACCCACCCGACTTGACTTGGGCGATCATTCCCGCATGCCTGCTTCTTCCATCTTTGCTACGAGATAAACAACTTGGGCCCATTCGTGGTGCTCGCCATCCACCTATCCGTGAAAGTTATCCCGGACAGAAGAGGAATCCATGTGTTGGACATGCCCATGTCCTCCAGGTGCACCATCTCCTCCTTCCCTCAGAAAGCTGTGAGCAGGAGGAGCTCCGAAGCAAGCGAAGCTGGAATCAGAACCGTAGCCGGGGTGATGCAGTTGACAGTGGGAGCTTCCCGGGACGACATGGCCGACGTAGTAATCTCCGACGGGAGGTTGGTAGGCCTGCGAATGGTGGGGGAGCGAGTGCGAGGAGGAAGACGGGTATATGAATTGCTGCGTCTGCGGTGAGATTGGTGGCTGTGTTGGTATCCGTGGATACACCGGGCGGAACTGCAGACAAGGGTCTCCGATGCCGCCGCCGCCGCCTCCATGAGGGAATTGCGAACCTCCAAGGTTTAGATCTCTGAAACTGTTTGTTATCATCAACGAAAGAAAAAATTGAATGGCCAACCAATGGGGTAGCAACACATAGATGAAAAGGCCCTAGAAACAGGAGGAGCCGAGATCGAAGTGGGTTTAGGTCTCTTCACATACCCCCCGATGGCACCGGCGCTGCCGATGCCTTCGTTGTTGAAGACCAGCTGACGAGCACGGTTGAGGGTCTCCGTCTCCCTCTCTAGCAAAAAGGGAACAAAAGCATAAGAACCGCTTGCCGGGGAGGGAAGAAGTAGCAAAGCAACAGATTGACCGATCTATAATGTCACATCAACTTTTCTAACTTCCATGGTGGTGGTGGTCATTGTCTTGCCTTGGCGGTGTCGGTTCATGTGCCCTCCCAGCGCTTGAGATTTGCAGAACTTGAGGGAACAAAACCGGCACTCATACACCTTTGCAGAATCATCCTTTCCTCCGCTCTTCTTCTTCTTAAACCCTGCAAGCTTTGGCATCAGTACGCATGGCAAGGATTATTACCACCACCAACACCACCACCACAACGACTCATCAGGCATCAGTATAACCTTTCTAATTTTCCTCTCCTCCCTCTGCTCTTATCTACTTTTACTCGGTTGTTTTCTTTAGCAAAATGATTCATTTTCTTAAGCGAGTACTGAAATTTTCTGCCCTCGATTTTCTTTCGGCCTACTTACGAGTGGTGTCAGCCGAAGCTGCGGTGGTCATCGAGCTCTCCTCCAGCGGTTGCTTTCCTGCATGCTCCTCCGGCAAGTTGTTGAGGTCTAGTGAGTTCCCCTCTGGTCTCCTGCAACCACATCAAATCAAATCAAACCGAACTTGTCACCACTTGTTCGAACAAGATATCTAGAAAGAAGAAACATACGGGAACCCTACATGGTATTGCACTCAAGGAGAAGGCAGTAGAACACCGAACATCCAGTTGAAGGGACCCAAAAATGAAAGGGAAGTTAATGGAAGAAAGGTTGCGGTGGTTCTTTGAGGGGCAAAAACTGCAGTTTGCTACTGCACTCCAAACAAGGCTGGCTCTGTGTTTTAAAGTGAGGGTAGAGATAGAGGGAGAGATTAAGAGTCCTGTGTGTGTGAGTTTCTCACTGCCCAGCCGTCTCTTTCTCTCTCCAGCCCGTCTCTTTGCATCTCCTCTTCTCTCTCCTTTTTCTTTTTTTTCTTCTCCGTCTACGCAAGGGGCAAAAGAGTCTTGGTATCCGTGACTGGTAGAAGACGAGTTCCTTCGGCTGGATGGGGGGATCAGTAACAGGAGTCTTTGTATTTGTTTAGGGCGAGAGCAGCGTTGAGAGGGACGTGGCCTTCGCTCCTCTCTCTCTCTCTCTCTCTCCCCTCCCTACAAACCCTACTCTACTCCTCCTCTCCCACTGCTTCATATCTTTCCAACTGCGCCTCCCTGCATGAGTAATTACAACGGCATGGCTTCCACGCAAGCCCTCCCTCTCCCTCACCCATGCAGCTTCTCCTCCTCGCCACCGGATCCTCGATGGACGACCGGGGAGGGCTGGGTGGACAGCGAGCATGTGAGATGGGTGTACTCCGCGGCAAGGATGTCATCCCGTGCGAGGCAATAAGGACAAGGGCACCCCTTACAAAGTGATGCTTGGGTATTTAGTTGAGAAGGGCATAGTAGGCCTACAGTCTCAGATGTAGCCTATTTATGATAAGGGCCATCACAGAGTGTACCTCTCTTGGCTTTGTGGTGCTGCTGTTGTCAACTACATCTGCGACCTATTTGGTCAGTACCCTCTTTTACATTATTTGAACTGTGCCCCTTGGACCCGTGTTTTCTTCTGCTACCAAAGATTTTGAGGTGGCAATTCGGAGCTGTGTCGGCTGTGATTCACGCTCGATTTCTCGTCCACCCGACTCTAAACCTGACCCGTTTAACCCCCACACCGTTGTTATCATCCAAATCGTACTCATCCATGTCTGTAAACAATATGTTGTTTGCAGGTTATAATAGCCTTTCCTCTCAGTTAGGTGATGGACAAACCGATGAGAAAAGTGATTGAACATCACTGATAATGAGAAAACAATTGCATGTAAGTCCACAACTTGATCGTTTCCATGTGTGTATTTCCCTCTCTCTCTCTCTT